TTCAGTCAGCCTGACACAGCATGTCAACAACAAAGTATATCATGACATGCAGGAATGTAGGCGATCATTGTTGAAGTTTTCTAAAGAAATGTTTCAAATAAATTTTAATCTAAATACAAAGGCTTAAGAATTCTCTAGGAAAGTGAGCAGATCCAGTTCAGATTGTATTACAGCCCATTATCATAGCTTATGTGGTGTGTGCAGTGACAGATCAGTTTGAGTTCAGGGAGTATGTGTTTTTTGTTTAATGTTGCATTCAGCAGAATTTGTACTTGTTATACAAATAAGGCCTGTTAACATTGTATGGTCACAGGATGTATCAATGTTTTGTGTATTCATACTGTGGGAATATGGTGCCAGTGCTGTAAGTATTGAAGCTGTGTCAATAAAAAGAAAAGAAAGGGAAAACAATGAACAAAAAATACTTGGCCATAGAATCCAGTGATTCATAATGTGAGCAACGACCTATGCTATTGGTGTATGATGACGTCACAAGGATGTAAGTCACCAAGCGTGTTTACCCCGTGGTTTTAATCTCCACTTATGACCTGTGTAGGCTGCAGGGGCCCCAGTCCCAATCACATGTTAACCTGGGGGTACTCACTACCAGTAACCATTGTGACCACCCAGTTAACATTCTTGTCAGGGGTTAACATTCTTGGGTGGGGGTGTAGCCTAGTGGTTAAAGCTTTCGCTCATGCCAAAGGCCCCGGTTCGTTTCCCCAAATGGGTACAATCTGAGAAGCTTATTTCTGGTGTCCCCAACCATGATTTTGCTGGAACATTGCTTAAGCAATGTAAAGCCATACTCACTCACTACCAGTAAACATTGTGACCACCGAATCAACATTCTTGTCACCTCTTTTCACAAGCAGAGAATACTCAGGTAAGACTTACAATATAACGTTAAAAACATAACTTCCACAGGTTTTGATTGATCATGCAAGTTGAGAAAGGCAGGGAGTTCCCTTGGTGAAGAACATGCAGGTGGGTGTCCTCTTTTATATTTGGTGCTAGAAAAATAGCTCTCCTCAGCAACAAAGTAAAACGTGGCTATGTTGAACAATTTGATATAAGTAAGTTGTTCATGTTGTCGGCAGTTGTTTTTTAACGCTCAGAAAACATGTAAACACAAGCCATATAACAAGTCATAACAGTAAACTGTATAAGAAAACAAGAAACCAAAACAGCTACTACTATAAACAGGTTTGACAAAGGAGAGATGGCTTCAATAGCTAAGTCGTTCCAAGTCACAGAGCACAGTACTTCAACCATGGAACTATCCCCATTATGTCCTGAATTGAAAGGCAGGACCCCAGCTGACAAAGAAGTGAGAGCACTCTGTTTAACCATGAGAATTTGCTTACGCATTACCTACAGCAATCAGGTTCCAAGGTAGCAGCTGTTACAGCCCATGCTTTGAGCTCATAGCCTAAACTACCTGTGGGCCAGAACAACCAGTGGGTAATAGTGTGAAGAACTGATGTTTGTGTTTCCCATACATGCTACCTTTAGTGTTTTTTTTATTTGCAAAATTTTAATTTGACAGATAAGCAAAACCTTCTTCAGACAAAATGTTTTAAAAAAAATTTACTCTGTTGGCATAGCACATGGACAATACAAGACAGGTGATAGAATCTATATGTCATGGATGGTGCAACTCAAGAAAAACAAAACTTTAAGGTCAGGACTCCTGTTTAAGGTAATAAACTTACATTGTCACATACATCATATGTAAATCTATTACATAAAACTATTACTTTTGACTATTACTGTCACATTTACCATCGACAATGACCCCTTTATCTGGTGACTTGAACTCATTTAAAAAAATTGAGTTGATTCTATCAAACGGGTCAACATTCAACATATTCACAGACATTTTGAAATTTGAAGAATGATAAATCACACACACAGTAACTTCTTCCACATAGAAAACATAGAGATGTGACAATATTTTGTACATTTACTCCCAAACAAAGTGACTTGATAACTTACTCCTGTACGCATGTTTAGACATCTGCTTAGTACCTTAGTAAGTACATAAGCACATCCTATATATCAACCTCTCCCTGTAAACACTTCATCCATCATTCAGAGAAACCAGCATGATAAATGTGTACACTACAGATCTACATTGTGTACTGTTTACTGTCGTATAGGACAATATACCAACATTGGCCGGGGGGCACTATATGAATGGTATTGTGGACACAGGGCAGCAAGGTCAAGGTCAGTAGAGAGGTGCCATACAATATAAGCTACATACTCATGATTGTCATTCATCACTCAAGCAGGTCCATCTTGATGTGTCCACCAATAAGTTTAGGCTGAGGAGTTGAAACTGTGTCTAGTGCACGAACGTGAACAAACCTGGTTAGAGACTAAAAATGTATCTCTTAAAACTGATTATTTCTGCAGTCACAATGCTGTCGGTTGAATGTTAACAAGGACTTAACATGATAGGAAAAATCTCTCAGTTCAAAGTGCTACTCATGCTAATGGCTTGATTAAAATTGTAATTGCACACTTAGAACATGCAGAATAAGGATGTATATGATTTGAGGTCAGTGGCGAATGTTTTTTGGAAAGGCTACCTGTGCAAACAAGTTGAGTAAAGAATATAACTTCTTATCACATCACTTGTGATAAAATGAAATTCACTGAATTTGAAGATGGATAAAATGCTTTCTCTTTGGCACACTTAAACTGCACACCTGAACATTGTTATGAGGGCCCTAGCATTATATACATTTAAAGCCATGATTTTCCACCCGTTTGTTCATGTTACTGTTGCCAAAGCAATTTATCACTGCCTCGATGATCGATCAGCTGTTCATATGACACAAAATATTTTGAAAATGTGATTTCTAAGGATGACCAATAGACACTGGACTCTTATTGGTATCTAAACTCTAATGAACATTATGAATGGAATCTCGGTTAAATGGAACCTTGATCTGCTTTTAAAAATTGAGACATATTTTTTTTTCATTTTAAGTCACAACAGTCACTGTGTGACAGACACATCTGGTAATTATAATATACATCTCACAATTATCTAACCTGTTATCTTCAAACATCGGAACAGGACATTGATTAAAACTCCCATAACTGTGGGTTAGATAATGCAACAGCTGTCACAAGCCTGTCATCACAGCAAGGGATATCACTGACCATGTGATTGGCTTATGTCAGCCTTATTCAGCCATACTCCCGACTGAATACATTAAGTAGTGAACCTTTGATGAACTTGCAATATGAATGGGCTTCATTAGATAATATGCTGACTGGAGTTCCTTGGCTACCAAAGACATGACAACAGAACTCAGTGTTTGCAAATATGATGAAAAGAGACTATATGTCTGAGCAGTAGCTGTTTGCAAACTTTGCCACTTAGGTATTTTGCCTGAGTGGGGTAGGTTTTTGATTCATTTGATAAGGCCAGACCAATCTTATTTCTTGTTTTATTCTTAGGAAACCTAAGGGGAAAGAGAGAGAGAGAGAGAGAGGACAGAGAGAGAGGAAGGAAGAGAGAGAGAGAGAGAGAGAGAGAGGGGGGAGAGAAAGATTCACCAGTCAAAATAATGTTCCTTTTCAGTACAAAAAGGATTTTACTTGTGGCAATTTATGAAGTGTATATGGATGAAAAATGACAATGTAAAAAGAGACTCTCTTGTACGCTTACATTTTTGGCCAATACAAACAGTAGGATTTATTTTTTTAGTGGGGAAAATTCATTATTATTCTTTTTCTTATTCTTGAAAAAATATGACTAGCGAATCCATAAAACAAGAAATAAAATTGGTCTGGTCTGAGCATGGTAATTTAAGACTTTATGGTCATATAAGACAAAAACCTATTCAAAATGATATCATGAGGGAAGTCCAGTCAAATACACTAAAAGCCAGTAACAAGATTTGGAAGACTGCTGTGTGTCTTCTTTTTGTTTGGTACTAGTCAAAAGGACTAGTAACTACTACAAAATATTAGTCATGCTAGCACAGCTAGTCAGCATTGTAAATACAATAAGCTGACATAAACATGAAATCAGTAAACATTTACACTTTTTTCACAAAATTGATGTTTCTGTTATTTGTGGGCTTTTTTTAAAATTAAGTTTGAATTGGTCATGTTGACAATATATCTAACTGAGAAAGAATAGATTTTTGTCAACCTGGGTCAAACATGCTGAAGATTTTCTCATGCTACTTTTGTAATTATTTTCTTTGGACATTGTTATACATTGTTTTTGAACTATAACTGCCACTGATTCACTTATTCACTGCAACCATAAATGATAAACAAATTAAGGTTGGTTGGTTATTTAATACTGCACTCAGCAATATTCCAGGTATATTGCAGTGGCCTGTATATAATCGAGTTTGAACCAGACAATCTAGTTCAGCCAGCTAAACGACGTTTAGCTGGCTGAACCACAGACAATCCAGTGATCAACAGCATCAGCACCGATCTACACAACTGGGATACACTGACAAGTGTCAACCAAGTCAGCGAGTCTGACCACCCGATCCCATTAGATGCCTCTTACAACAAATAAAGGGCAAGCCTGGTGTCCTGAGTATGTTTGGACAAGTAGATTATCAGATTAAATGGGGATATCCTTCAATGTTATCACGTTATTTAGACACACGAATCTACCTGTATATGCACACAAACTTACAATGTAACCATGTTAATTCTTAACAGAGTGGAAGTCATATGCACTGTTGTCCTTTAATAAAATATAAACAAAGAAAACATTGTTCGCTTGCAGTTGAAATGTACACCAAGGACATCACAGCAACCACTAACTAGTTGTTTTTTTAAGCATTGTAAACATTTGAATATTTCACCCATCGATCGAAGATGCGTCAATTTCCACGATATTACGTCAAAGGCACAGTGACGTCACAAGTTTGGATGGCCCTGTCAACACTTGGCTCATTTGGCACTCATATATGCTACATATAAACACAAAACATGTATGACAGTCTTACCAATAAAATGCTATCTTGTCTCCCAAACCACGTTCGATGTTTCTGTCAAGCACGTTGTAGCAGATGTTAGTTTTCGCTCCTTCCATCCATTTGATGGATATGGGTCCTTGTGTATAGTCGAAGTTGTACTCAAGAAACCGGCCAGTGGGGGGCGACTTCCAATAAAATTCCTTTGCAATCTCTTTCCAAAATTCTTCTGGCTCTTCAACGGACTTCTTGTACATTTCTTTATACTGATCAAAGCTCTTGACATGAGCATCTTTCTGAAGCTCGTTTGGGGGCTGGTAAAGTCCCTCCATTTCTACCGAGTTCTCGCTATCCGCCATCTTCGGTTGTGATGCCGACTATGAGATTCACCGGCAACTGGTTTGTTATCTCGTATACGATTGGACAGCAAGAGCTGCCGTTATTTACCACGAGTATTTTCATTGGTTGTAACGCATCGTCGCACCTGTCGTACGACAAAGAAAGACGATGTGTTTTTCAAACGAAATTAGACCTGTATAGCCTATTGTTACTAGTGAAATAGATAACAAACACGTGATTCACGTGATCTATTCGCTATAAACAGTAACCGATCTCACATAAGTCAAAACTGCTCGAATCTATGAGATGATTTCAATGAAGCAGAGACCATATAATATTATATGGTCTCTGAATGAAGCAATACGCCGCGATAAACAACTGAGATAAATAAACAAGTTAATTTCATCCCTGTACATATATTCCAGGGATTTTAATATCGAAAGTACCTATCCATAAGTAAATAAACTTCATAGACTGATAAACACTTTGATGGTTAACACAGTGACGTGGAAACCAAATTCGATTTATAAATACACTGCCGGCCAAAAGAACACATTTGAAAGTTGGATTTGACAAACGAATGGAACATTTAATGTTACGAAAACGTATGTTACTAAATACGTTGAATACTTAGTCTGTCTCACAGTCCCTGAACCCTGATTTTTTTCCCTACAGCCTGGCCCTCCCTGCAATGCCAAATCCCTAACTGAAGCAAGTCAATATTTGCCCAGGTTCAGGTCTCCCTGGGGCTCCTTTTCAATTTAAAGGGGTTTATTTGTTACAATCAAAAGTATATATACAGCGTTAGTTTCGTTGAATAGTCAGCAAACGAAAGTAAAATATATATATATATATCAACACCGAATTATTATTGCGCGTATATTGTAGTTTTGAACATCATCAAACACTAATGCATGGTGTACTTCTGTTGCCCGGCAGTATATTACTCAGGCCTGAATAAATGTTAGAGACCGCGATCTCTGACAGGGTTTATTCGTGCGGTTTTGAAACTTATAGATATTAACCTCTATTTATTTGTTTTATTTGAATTTCCTATTTTTCATATTGTTTGTTTTCAGATTTTGTTTGAGACCATTCCCTGTTTTATACCTGATTCAGTTATAACTTTCTGGTGACGCGACTCACTCAAAACATTATATAACCTCATACCATTTCTACGTTGGAACACGCCTGGATACTTGCCTTAGTCAGTATAATATTGAAGGAATCCCGGGGCACGCAGATTTTTATTTTTGTCATTTTTATTCTTGTCTACATCGAAGGTATGTTACTATAACAAATATTATTCATAGGTTGTTGTCACCACCTAATTGGATAGGACGGTTAGATTAAGACCAACTTCGATTTAAAGAATCCTAAACATACGTTATATTGTATGGAACATGGACTGGGTGTCGTAACATATTGTTGCAGTTCTGTAACTGGTGCATGTTTCTTTCCTGTTTATACGTGTCGGGAAAAATACAGATTGCGCGTAAAAAGTGGATGTGACAAAAAAATGACAAACGTAATAGAACAATCAACGAAACATTGCAAATCTAAGGTCTGAAACATGAACGAAATCTTTCTTTTGCCAAACAGCGTAACTGTACTGTACGCTGAATCTGTCAACCTACATTCTCCACCTCATTTCAACAGTTTTTTGCCAGTAGATATTGTCCCAACAGCCTGTGCGTCTTGCAAGAAAAAGTATTTTACGAGTGCTTAAATGACCGCTAAAAAGATGCAATATTTTAGTAGTAACCCGACATGGGGACAGCAAGAAATATTGCATCCTTTTGGTATTGAGTAGTAGATTTATAAGTTGCCTGTTATTATATCATGTTATTTTGTCATGTTGTACAGTAAAAACGTTTCAAAGTGTCTACAGTTGATAGGCTAGAGAAGTGTGCATGTGTGATGAATGGTAAAGATGTGAATCATGTGATTCGCTTCCATGATGATTGTTTACGATTTCTTGTCTCTCCTTGGTGCAGCGCCTAATTGATGTAGTGTGCAGATCTAGAATTGTAGTGGTGGTAGTGGTGGTTCCATCCCCGGCCGCGTCATAACACTCAACAGATTGTACTTGTTACCTTGCCTGGCGCCAGGGATTGTGGGATAATAAGGACTGACCTACTCAGTCAGTATACAATATCTCAGTTTAAAATCTGCATTCGTCCGGACTAGGATGCGCACACGCACGCACACACACACACACACACACGGACGCTGGCATATATTACTTGCTATGTACGTATAATGCTCATTTCACTCCACCTCTCTCTCTCTGACTCGATCGAAACGTCTCCGAAAGCCACGTTGGAGCGACAGTGACCCTGACCCTTCATGATCATCAGTGGCGGATCCGGGGGGTTGTTTTGTTCGAACGCCCCCTTGGAAAATGACTTAATGTCACATTGAAGATTTTTTTTGCGTTGGCGGAGCCAATGGGGGGTTCAGGGAGTTCGAACCTCCTGAACCTCTCCTTTCAGAAGTCCTGGGTCCACCCATGATCATCATCGAGTTATGCAAGTTATTGGGGATGGACGCGAAACAACATATATTAGATACATTAGAGGTCTCTAAGGAAATATTTACTACTTAATTGGAATTAGTTTTTACCGATCACGGACTTCATTTCAAACGTGTGTTTTATTTCAAGAGCCGCAGCGTTCGAAATTAACGTCGGTCCTCAGACCCAAAGCCCACGGTTTTTGTTTTCTGCAGGTCCTTATGGTCGACAGCTTTTACATCCCCAATAACTAAGAGTATTATTTCCATATTAAACTATAGGGCATACTCATTCTGATCAGGACCCACAACTGTTTATGGTTGTGGGTCCTCAGGACCAGGGAACATCTACAATATAGTCTCCCTGTTAGGACCTGCAGCGTTTCAGGGCTAAGGTCAAACCCTGTTCGGGCCATCTGTATGGTGCATGCGTGTATGATTGAGCGAGTTTAGTTTAAAGTCGCTTTTAGAAATATCAGGACAGGGGACGCCAGAAATGGGCTTCACACATCGTGTCCATGTGGGGTATAGAACCGATGCGACGAGCGAACGCTTTAACCATTATAGGTAGTCTGTCATACATACCCTGAAGCAAATATATCCAAGAAAGCCCACGCAAGTCTAGAACATGTGGCAAGTCTAGATCTGAAAATGAAGAAAGTCTCTGGGGCTCCTTTTTACTGTACATATAATTTTAATTTAAAAACTTTTATTTTCCATAAAATATGTTCATTTCAGAGACGAGTTTTGTAGTCTAACCACTAGGTTACCCCACCGCCCCGTATATACACGAGGTGCATAATATTAGACTGAGTAAATTCAACCCAGTTGATTAAATTCCATCAATTTAGACAGCGGTTACATCGTACGAATGTGGAGAGTTAGTTCTTTAACCAGCTGAAGAGTACAAGCGAAGTCGAAAATAAAGGGACTCTGCTGCCATTTGGCTTGATTTAGAATTTTTTATTCTTTTCATTGCACTTTATTGCCGATTTTGTGGACAGTGCCAGGAGCAAAAATAGATTCGGCATGCATTCTCTTAACCATCCAATAACGTTGGAGGGTTAAAAAACAGAGGGCAATACATTATCAATTTATCAGTCTTCTTTGCCACGCGGGAATTGTTACGAAACGGTGGCTCCAACAACTTTATACGAAACAATGTTCTCGTACCTCTGCTTCTTTTGTTGACTTCCGGAAATCAACTTCCGGCACATGCGAAGAACGTTTTATGAAGAGAAAAAGCCGGTTAACTATGATTATTCTCAAGCTTTGTTCTACATAAACAATCAACATACATCAAGTCAAGTGAGTAAGTATGTTTTGTAAAACTGTCCACCTGTCAACAATTGTTGTATAATTGTATTGTTAAATTCTACGTTTCACCAGACAATTTCAAATATTTTGAATTTTAGTTTTTACAATTTTAGATATTTATAGTGTGCCAGGGCTATCAAACTGACAGTTTTGACTTAGTGTGTATGGTTCACTTTTATTTTGCTGCATGTCATCAATGAATGAGTGTCATTGTACCCTGACAAAGTGGATTGTTTATAACATCAATCATTGTATTGTTTCATCCAAACTCATATAATGATTTATTTACTAGCTGCAAACACAATGCTAAAACCCAAATCATTAAGTCTAGACAACATAATCAAGATTGGTTAATAATAATAATATATTTTGATATTTTGCCATAAATGTAACACACATGATGATTAATTTTCAGGTTTATCACCTTCAGTTTTGATCAAATTGACTGACACAACTTATCATCATGAGTGCTCCCAGTGGGAAGAAAAGTCTGTCCCTGACAGTGGAACAGATCCAGGGTGACACCATAATGCAGGTGAGTAGTCAACAGTACAGTGTCAGGGGTGGAAATAACCCATTGCCCGACGTCCGAGTCCAGTGCTTTTTTCTGTCGGGCAAGCAAATTTGTATATCACACTGTACCGATGTCCAGTTGACTTTCCAATGTTAATTATGTTGTGTATTTAAAAAATCAGCAGGAAAACGGTCGGTATAGTGGAAAAATTATCAGGGCAAGTGACATTACATGTGTCACTGTACCGGAGTATACTATCAATTTTAAAGTTATTTCCACCCCTGAGTGTGATAGTAAACAATGATAAACATGGTAAAGCGACAACTTTAACTGAAGATCAGTTCATAATGTTACATCTCAGTTCAACTATGATATCATAGATCAATACTATAGATACTATTTCATATGACAGTGTATGAAATAAGCCAAAAACCCAGCCAGACATCAGGGCTGGTAACTCAAAATGTTACCCGTCCAAACCAGATTTAACAAGACCAGGCACCAAGATATGACTCAGATGTATATAACATCTCAAATTCTTACCAGACCATCAGGCTGGTTAGCTGTAAATCTAGAGCGTCCGTCTGAAATCAACCCGTCTTGTGCGGTCGGACGGACCTTATTTCATACACTGCATATGAGTAATATATTTGCAGTATACATGGAACCAGATATCAGAGTCTAATAGATAAATACCAACATT